ATGACCTGTGTTGCGAAGAAGGGGATAGCCAAGGAGCATGCAAAGTGGGCGCCCACTGCGGCGGTTGGGTTCGAGTATGACCCGCACAATAACCTCCGGCATGTGGATTACTGGTACGAGGAGGATCCCATTAAGGAATGGTATGTTCTATTTTTCGTTCTTTTCGGGCTCGTCCAATTTTTACGCTGCAAAAGCAGTCGCTAATGATCCGCCCAGGCCCGTCTCCGCAAACGCCGCCTGGGAACACGCCGCGCCCCCGGACCAACCCTTCGACTACGACGCTCAACCAAACAACTTCTACATCGACGTCGAAAGCATCGGAAACCTCGACCCGGACATGATCATCCAGCAGGGCATCATCGTCCTCCAACGCAAACTCGCCACCGTCATCTCCTCCCTCTCCGGCGCCGGCAACGGCGGCCGCAACGGCCTCCCTGAAGACGAGGACATGATGGGCGTCCGCAGTCCCGACGCCTATGAGCCGCCAGAGGGCATGGACGGCGGGTTCACAGCGTACGCCAACGGCGGTACGAGTGCCTGGGGAGCCAGCGCGGCAACTCCCTACGGTGCGACGCCGTACGGTGGCAGTGGGTACGGCTTCTAGGCTGTAGTCCTTTTCAATCTTCCCGAGTTGAAACTAAAACTAAACTGAAAATGAACATGAAAAGTGATTGGGGCAGGGGAAGGAAACGAGGGAAAGCGACTTCGACTTCTCTGTAGCCTACGCAAGCATCCGAAACGGAGTTCTATGGTGTTTTGTCAGGTTTTACGGGGCGCAATTTCAATTTCGATGGGGTTCTCTTCCATTCAATATTCATATTCTCTCTTTGACTGGTGGGATCTTCTTTTGGATCTAAACAATACAGTACCTGTACATCTTGCTGCGAAAATGATATCTCGGAACTTATCATCCAGAACCGCAAACATGAAGAAGTGATTGGAGTATCTTGTAGATTGAGTTGTAAAATGCCTCGTACATGCTAGACCCTATGCTAGGAATGAAAGAGTGCATCTCGATATAGTAAAGACCGTATAAAAAAGCCAAGAACCAATATAAGCGCCATCCTGCACCTTCCTTCCTTACCTGCTGTATGTATCCTGAAAGAACGGAATCACAGAACACCGGCCCTTTCCATATCCAACAAGCCACAAAAGAAAAACAAAAAGACCACTCGTCTATTCTGCTTTTGACCTCAGTTTCGCCGGGAAATGGGAGAGAGAGAAAAGAAGAGACGAGATCGATAAACTCGCTGGACGGAAGCCAACCCAGACCAGACCAGATACCAATGATGACGCCCGATGTCTAGGTAGTAATCGATCGAGAACGCCGAGCGAATTGCCTGCAGCGAGGGGATGAAAAACGCCGTGATGACTAAACGACTAAGCCAAGGGACGAGAGGAGAGGAGAACAACAGACGTAAGATGGATGTGTGAACGGGGGTAACGGTAACGGTAACCCCTTGCAACCCTCCTCTGGCGGCGTTCAGACCCCTTCGATGGTATCTGACCCTAGATCGTCCGATCCGTCTGGTAACATGGAAGGTGATGGGATTTTGCGCCCGGCTCCATATACCATTTCCATGAGTTTGGCCTTTTGCTTTTCTCGGACAGATCGGAGGTACTCGTATGTACCCTCCAGCCCGCGGATCTGGCCTTCGATGACCGCTTCGACTGGCCCGAGCATCCGTCCGTGACTGCGCCCGCTGCCTCCCTCGACAGCACCGACAAAGCTCACAGAGTCATTTCGACGGACAAGGGGACTGACCAACTTTCGTCGCAGGGTCTCCAAGTTGACCTTTAGTGTCAAAAGACGGCCGCGGTGATCCATCAGGAGATGCTTGTTGGCGACTGTTCGGCTGCGCACATTGGCCAAAAGGCGCTTGTTCTTCTCATATTTGCGAACCATAGCGGCATCAGGACCGAGCACTCGGGTCCATAGGGAGCTCAGCATCTCCCCCTCGGCACGTTCTTGGGCGTCCGACTCGCGCACAACGGTACGCTGCAGATTGAGAAATTGGCGATCTATGGATTCAAAGAGGGCAAATAGCGCAGTTGAATGGGTCAATTCACTATTGATCGACTCTTCAAGCACGGATAGGAACTCCGTGAAGGTTCGCGTGAGAGTGGCCCGTGTGCGCTGGGCGGAAGTCTGACCCAATACGGCCGTCACGACGAGACCAAATGTGGTTGGGGTGGTTGTGAGCTGGCTGCTAGTTGCCTCACCATTTGGAGCGTCTGTCCGCTCCAGCGTACCTAGCCGTGATAAGAGATCATGCACATTGTCGAGGACAATGGACGGCAGAGAACTTGGAGGCTGCGAAGATAAAGTCTCCAGCTCTCTTTTGGCCCAGTCCATGACTATCAGGATGGAGTCGACGTCGGAGTCGACGTTGGCGAAAAAGCGCGTTAGCTCGAGCGACAATGTTTTCAGCGACTCGGACAGTTCATCTAGCTGGCGCACAATGATCGGCGCGCTGGTCATATTGGTACCGCGGACGGATTCACTCAGATCCCAGACAGCAACACCGGTCTCCTGCAGCGTTCCAATCTGCTGTACTCCATTCTCAGAGTAGTATATGAGAGGCTCAAACGATCGCGCAAAGCTTGACAATTTCACCAGATCCGGAATCGATTGAGGGAGACTAGGTAAGAACAATGTGCGCATGATTGCGATGGACAGAAGCGCAATTAGAATGGACAGTGTGGTGTTGGATTTGGAACTAGTGATTCTGTCGAACTTGGATCGCAAGTAACTAAAGAATGCGACAAATGGTTCGCGATGCTGGACTTCTGCGCGCACAGCAAACCGGATATCTTGAGAAAACGTCCACCTATTAGTATCCCGCGCCAGCTTGCTGGTCAAGGGTGCAAACCAAGATAGAGCCTACAATTGCTCAAGTTATTCTCCGGCCCAAAGTCCAATCCCTCGTCCGCGGGGCTTGCCTTGAGCGCCGGAGCGGGACTGGGGGACCGTCCCTTAAGTGGTGTTTCAGAAGGTAACGGTACGTTGGCAGCGATGGTCGCATCCCCCGTGTCGGCCGACTCGCTGCGTTTCTTCACCGATGGGGTCTCGATCGCATCTTCATACTGTGGACTAGCCTCGCGCGACAGCGACGGGCTGACTCCCACGGTCGGTTTCAGCACCGGCCGATCGTTCTCGCCTTTGCGCAGATAAGGTTGATGGCGATACCACCCGCTACCTTGAACGTAATCATATCTGCGGAAGCCCGGAGGCGACCAGCGCTCACCGTTCGGAGTGGTATCCTCTTCCTCACATTCCGACTCCTCTGAGCGAAACCCAGAATGCTGCGAGGGGAGGCCGAATACGGGAGAGCGATGCGCATTGCTGTTGTTCTCAAAGTCCTCTAGCGACGCATCCAGCGACGGATGGTCGTCAAACACGTTATCCAGCTCATCCAGCATGATGGACGGCGTTGCGCACAATCTAAAGCGAAGTTGTAAAGCCACTTCAGTCAGTGCGCTGTCAAAGCGACCACTCGAGGTGCAGCTCTGAGACAGCGATGGATTGTATAGCTTGAAGGAGGGGTTAGTCGCAAGCGCGCTAAGATCCGGTGAGGTCTGATCTATGTGCTGTCGGAAATAAACGACGAGGCAAAGAATCAGAAGTTCGGATAAGAAGCAAAGAGTTTAGTAAGTCGAATGCAAGAAGCAGCAACGGGAAGATGCAAGACATGGGAATGCGCTGCGCGAGGTTTCCAGTGGAGGGAGGGGGGAAGCCTTGATGCCTGAGGACCCGAAACCCGAATAGCTAACTCTGACTAACTGTCGAGCGACAAGTCACTCACTGGCCGTGCCGATGCCTGGGACAAAGTACTGTAGGTGGTGTGGTCCGGGAGGTACATACAAACAGGAGGCGCTTGCATCAAACGGACCAGCACATTCCCCGGGAAATTCAGTTCTGTAAGATGTAGAAGCACCCACGTTAGTTAGCAGTAGACGTGAAGACGCGCTGATGGACTTCAGCCAACAAGAATGGATGAATCTCTGGTATGGAATGTATGCCTGCAAGACTTTTGATCGCAGTCTACCCTAGACAAGTTACAGGAGGGGGAATCCGATCTCAGATATGCTCCTGCTCCTGGGCTGATGTACCCGAGTTTATCAAGGCAGATAAGCTGCTTGGTAACTGCACTGGTAACTCCGTACGGGTACCTTAGGTACCATACCCAAAGGGAGGGGGAAGGGGGCATGTCTGCCTCGTGCTGATTGGTCCAACACGAGGATGAGGGGGCGCAGACGGTGGCTGGACCAATCAAGCCAGCCAGCCGAGGGTCATGTGCCCATGGTTCCAGCTGTACTGTACCGTACAGGGTCATCGTAGTCTCCAGTCTAGCAACATCATACTGTAGGTATCACTCATAAAACGTTTTAGACTAGAGTCCACCATATGAGTGGATGTACCTAGCAGGACATCCTCAGAGCTAGACCAGACGAACAGCGTGGCCTGCGGACCGGACCAATCAGGGAACAATGACTGAATAATGGCTGCAGGGATCGTCCACCAGATGGCTGTTGTATTGGCGAGGAGAGTCGCAAACCGTCGACGGGCGAACAGCAGGACGAGCTTGGAAGACGACGGGAGTCTGACTCCACTCGACGATGCTGGAGCTAAGAGTATACCTGAAACTTGGTGTCAATATCCACGAATCGTCAGCAGGCTGGGGGAAGACAAGAGAGCCAGAAGATAGGACGAGTAACTTCCTTCAGGCAGCAAGGCAGGAATCCACCTTGTCAGCAGGCACCTACACCAACACGTGACCAGCGATGACGCACGTGGGCCGACAGTCTGAGGTAGAACACACAGCAAGAAGCATCGTCATCATGAGAGGAGATTCTCTTATTCATTATGGTCGGTCATGGTACACAAAATCCGAAGTAAAGACATAACCATCGGAAAAGGATAATAGACAATTCTGCACGCCAGGACTCTATGATATCCGCCATGTTCCAGCACACAGAAAATATCAGGTCTATTGCGTTTAAACAAGGTTGTAGTATAGTACATGCCGTGTCCGTTGAACTTGCCGTGCATCTGCTTTTACCACAGGAGGATCGGCGCGACAAAGTTTCCCAGACAAGGTCGAAGAGACAAGTGACTTTTCAGGGCGAACATGTTTAGCAGTTCTCCTTGAGGTAGCTGTAGGAGAGAAACAGTTAGCGCCTGCAATGCCAACCATGGCAGAGTGAGCCTTCGGCAAAAGCACATACGTGATCAGGTCGTTCCTTTCCTTGCCCTTCTTCAGACCACCGAAGGCCATCTTGGTACCGGGGATGAACTTCTTGGGGTTCTCAAGGTAGGAGAACTGTAGAGGCGCATTAGCATGGCTCATGTCGAGCAAGTGGGGGAAAATGACAAACATACCAGAGTGTTCTCGTCCCAGGTAACACCGGCCTGCTTGTTGGCGTCGGTGTAGGCGTATCCCTCGGCGGAACCGGTCTTACGGCCGAAGAGACCGTGGAGGTTGGGGCCGACCTTGTGGGAACCGCCAGACTCGACAGTGTGGCACTGAGCGCAACGGGTCTAGAGCGAGCATCTTAGTCGCTATCCCAGTAGATACTATGGCCGTTGTTCTGTACTCACCTGGAAGAGCTTGGCACCCTTCTTAGCGTCACCTGGAGTCGCGATAATGTTAGCCATCTATTTGGCCTTTTCCGCCGCTTCAAGTTCGGCTTCGCGCATGTCGATGGTAGCGAGGAGACAGAAGGTATCGAAGCTCGTCATTCTGCTTGGAGCGTGCACGTGGAAATGGTAGACACCGGGTTGAGAGATGTTTGAACTGTAACGACGAGACGCGACGACTGCGATACCAGCTGATCCTTGCTACCAGAGTGGATGTTGTTTTAGGAAGTAGGAACACGCTTCTCCTCCCCCAGATCCAGCCATCATTCACTGGACGTCTTCTGAAGCGAACACCGAGAGGACGCCGCAGTCGCAGTCAATGATGGCAGGTTCCAATGAGAGTGAAACAAGGAAGCCGCGAGAAAAGAGAAGAGTAAGGTATGCTTACCAGGAGCGAAGCCTTCGTCCTTGCCCATTTTGAATGTACAGTTAGATGTGAATGAAGATTATGAGATTGAAAAAGTGTTTGTACAAGGTGAATTGGAATACAGAGGAATCCAAAAAAGTCTGGAGAATCAATTGGGGGAGAAACGGAGCAAGCTGGCAGGGAGAAAAACTTGCGGGCGGAATTTGTAGATTGATGCGGCCGGCCTTGCCCCCGGCAACTCCCGTGATCAGAACATCCGCCAATCAGATGCATGATGATTCAACGGAAAACGGGCGCTGTCGGGACACAGTCACACAATGGGAAATGCCCGGTGTGGACTTTTTTTGTCTCTGCCTTACGTCAATGGCATCACTTTGCTAAAACCATCTACGGAAGTACGGATAGAGCATCTGGATACCTATTCTAGGCAATTGTGTTTCTTAATCTAAGTGCAGACGAGTAGATAACGTCCAAATTCCTTCACGTTGCGATTTGCCTTCCCAATGGCAATCGCCAACATCGCGTAGACTATGATCTCATCGCAGGCGCAGACTTAGCTTCTCGACGCATAAGTCGCCTTAAGCCTCAGTCAGCATAGAGAGGAATATTAAACACACATACGCATGCGATTATGGTACACATGACATGCGCTCATGTTTCTTGAATCTCACTTCCATGAGTTGCGCGAGGTCAACATACCGGTTCTGCATCACTGCAGCAGCCGGAACCAGTCCCTTAGGGTTGGAAATGGCAGCGTCGTCATTTGCCCGCTATCAATCGCCGACCCAATTACTCGAAATAATTCCGCTCCGCCGGCTTTGGTGGTCCGATAGGACTGATGGCCTGAAATATAAGGCGTCAAGGGATACACCGACCGGCGTTTCTATTCAGGCTCGAACACATCCCAGTGACCTGGATCGATGCATGCGAACATAATGCTCATTCCTGTAATTCTATGTCTACTTGACCTAAAATTAAACCTATCAGTGTCGGAACATCAGATAGCAATGTCATGGCATGAGGCAGGAACTGCTGCTGTGTTCTATGTAGTCACGTGATATTATATCAACACCGCTGACAGAAAAAAATAGTCGGAAATGTAGCGGACAAGAGGCACCAAATCACGGAGTATATGCGCCTCTCCACAACATACCCTCTTGAGAACCTCTACTTACGCCCGACATATACAATGGCACCCATTGCCATCCCCCAATTCCTCCTCCCTCGCGGGATACCCTCCTCCCGAACCTTGCAGGCCCTCACCCGCCGCCGCAACCCGAGCACCCTCGCAACCACAGTGCCCTCCTCGTGCCGTTGCGCCTCATCAGACGACGGCAGCAAACCCCGCGTGCTCGCCAAACCAGACAAGTTCCGACCACCCTCGCACCCCGCGCGCCGGGTGGTACCAACCCGCAATGGCAGGGTAGTCAGCGGACCGATCAACTACCCCGGTCCACGACTCTCGGAGAAGGAGAAGGAGGAGCAGAAGACCAGGAAGTACCCAAATATGTTTCCGCCCGAGGGGACGATCATGTACAAGTTTCTGACGAGTCGGTGGATTCATATCTGGATTGCTATGGTTGGTTTTTTTCCCCCTTACCTTACGATGGTTGGAGACAATGGCGACAATGGCTGATAACTGTGACATTTAGGGCGTCCTCACCTCGCTGGCTACTTTCACCTTCACCACGAACTTCAAGCACTCCTCGCCGTACGCGCACTTGCTGCCGCCGTGGTCTGCGCTCTTGACTCACCCGATCGACACGATCGGGCAGGCGCTTGCCGTCTTCCGCATGCATGTGCAGCATAACTCGATGGAGACGAGGGAGAAGCGCCTCAAGCGGGTCGAGGATGCGGAGAAGAGGCGGCAGTATCGGATCGCGCATGGGTTGGAAGAGCCGGACGAGAAGACTGAGAGACAGACTGCGGAGGTGGTTGATGATCAGTCGCCGGTCGCGGCCGATGTTCCTGCGGTTGGCGCGGATGAATACGTTGACTGGGAAGGGAAGAAGAGGCCGGTCAAGAAGTGGCTTGGTATCTGGTAGACTGTTGCCGGATGGATGGAGAATGAGTTTGGCGGGCTAGGAACCCGAATCAGCGCTGTATATTAAGTTGCTATGGAGCTTGCTTTTGACGTTGTGTCTACCCATGCATTGTTCTATGTGTACATGTCATGATATATCTCCTGGTCATCACGTCTGTTTCGCATCCAGAGGACCGGCATAGACCTGGAATATCAGTCTCTATTTAAAGCGCCGACTCCATTCTCCCACACAGCAGGCCCGTCTGTGTTCGCTTTACCTGCAGCGAATGAGCCCGGCCGCTTGAGTGGATCAGACAACTGATACACATTGAGCCCGCAGAGGGCAGCTTCGTAGAGCTTGTCTTCAATTCAGAATGCACGATCGTCTCAACCGACGGAAACTCCCTCTAGTCCCTCTAATACATCCTCGCCAACACCACCCTTCTCCAGCACCGCTTTCACCATGCGCGCGATCGTGCTTCTTTTAACCCCACCACGTCGAGGTCTCCAGACTCCGGGAACTTCCTCCTCGCCGGTGGAAGGGCTCAAGATAGCAGCATCCTCTGCAGCAGCCGAAGACCCTATCGTAGCGACATTCTCCGAGTTGGGCACACCCGGCTGTGTCAGACGGGATGGAGGGTCAATCGTTCTCATAGAGAGCAATTTCAGACTACCAGTCTCGCCGTCGCGGCAGACCGAAAGCGCCAAGACGGTATCTGCAACGGCAATCTCCTCCCTGCTGGGATCGAAGATGATGTTATCGGCCACGGAGATGACCAGCAGCGTCACTGGAGGTCGAACGAATTGCGAAGGTGAGGGTGTGGTAGCATTCCCAGAACTCTGGCGAGGGTAGAGATATTCCGCCACGTTCCAATCATCGTCGAAGAACGGGTCCTCTTCGCCCTTGGATTTCAGTTTGGGCAGTCTCGTCGACAAAAGCGCCAGGTGTGTCGTCAGAGAGAGTAAAGGAAGCGGGTACGATAGAGGCTGCGAGAGCAGCAAAACCTATAGTAAAGAGACCAAAAGTCAGCAAGACAACGCAACGGGTAACGCACGGCCACAGCCACATGCACCGTCCAGCAAAGGTCCCTTACATCAATATACAACCTCCAATGCCACCGGCGGTTAATGACCAGCCTCCCCTTCAGACCGCCAGCCATCTCCACATCCCCTCCCTGCGCACTCGACACCGACTCAATCAGCGGCTCCCGCATCATCTCCGACAGGAAAACAGGCAAGGCATCGTCGTCCCGAAAACCAGGAATCTCAATGGAGATCTGCACCCACGATTCGTGCCCGCCCGCTGCGCCCATCCCCTCCTTGCCGTCCGCGCCTTGATCGGCCGTGTAATCATCCCCCGATGACAACTGCGAGACCTTCAGGGCCTCTGCCGCCAGGGCTGTCTTCTCAACCTCCGCTTTCACTCCGACGATAGCTTGCGTGCCGTCTGCGAATCCGACCCGCGCGCTGCCATTGGTGCCTGGGAGGATATCGGTTTCCGCTGTTAAGGGTCGGAACTGTGTGGGAGAGCGCCCGTCTGGTCGAATGGGACTGTCGGGAAGCGCAAGCGAGGTGTAGAGGTAGGAAAGTTCTGCTGGTGAGAGGTGTGGGGTCTGCGAGGCAGATGAGGCTTGTCGCTGGGCCGACATTCTGGGTTGTGGATTTCCAGAAAGGAAAGAGCAGGAACTGTTGATCCAAGCGGCGTGATGAGGACTGAGTCTCTGGTTTTCTTGAGTGACTGTAAAGAATACCGAGCCTGCCGTCTGCAGAAGGACGCAATCGAGAATTCAGCTATCCTGGCCTTCAATGGCTCCGTGGGGCGCGAAGGTAATTGTCGGCTATGCGAAGGATATCAATAAAACAGATCCATAGGAGGACTAGGCGCAGAAAGTCTCATACAACACAATAATAGAAGAATTGATGGCCATGATATCTGAAGTACTGTTTCGGGAAATTCTGATGAAGGATGGATAATTGTTGTTCCGACACGGACTACTCCATACCTCTCTACTCTGTGCATGGAATAGGCGTACCACTGAGGGTATACTCTACACAGCTACTCCTTCTGAAGGATCGACATGAGCACAGAAGTTTCATTGTCTGTTGCATTAGGTGTATATGTGTATATAAAGGTAGGGCTTGCAGCCGATAAATGGGTACTATATTACAGGATCTTTGGGCTTCGACTATCATCGTCGTACTCAGGGAATGGCGGGAAAAAATTGTACAGTGGGGAATATGGAAGGTTCGCTCGACAACACGGGTCGTAAAACCTCCCCCGGGCGCAACAGAAAGGAATGACAGGCGACGATTTATATGCCATAGAATATACACGGGATAAAGAGAAAGAGTGGAGGACAAAGGAAAGATCTGAATGCTAGAAGACAAGGACTGATGAGAGGATATGTGTATATATAGGAAGTGATGGTAGATCTCGCGACTCGCGCGTTCGGTATCAGGGTATATCAGAGCAAGGGAGCAGATGCCACGAAATATAAATAGCAAAAGAAAGATCAGAAGACAAACAAGATATGCCGAAAACGCGTTGCGAGGCCCGCCATCTATAAAAGGCCTTTGGGGGTATGAGAACGAAAAGAACCAGTGAAAAAAGCCCAAGCCCAGGGCAGACCGATACCAACCAAGTGATAAAAGCACACAATATGCAGAACAGAAAGGGAAATAAGAAAGAAGACAGAAGAACTCCTCCGATAAAATGTGATCAGGGTAGACACCAAACCCAGTACGCCGTGCTCGGTGAGATAGCCGGTAATGCGCATTATGACCTCGTTTTCTCCTCTTATAAATTTTCCGGGAATGCGAGTTTCAAAAAGTGAGAGGGAAGAAGGGAAGAAGGGAGGATAAAAATGGCCTTGCAAGGAAATCATTTGAATGTTGACTCTGTCAGAAATTGGAAGATGTCGTGTTCATCCAGTCCCGTTCCTCGTAAGGCGGGGTGGGCCATTGGCGATTGGAACTGGCATGGTCCATCTTCTCGTCTCGTCTGCATGGAGTCGAGTCTTGCTGACCAAACGAGACACCGTCACACTTTGCCGACGGTGATGGAGTGGGATAGGGGCTAGGCAAGGGACGGGAGCCGTCGTTTCCCGGAGCTTGGCGACTGTAGTTGGAGGAAGCATCCGACAATGTTTCGCCTTGTGCCAAACGTCTAGCCGCCTTGCTTGCCGAATGCAACACCTCATCCAAGAGCTCGTCCTCTTCCTCAGGGGTCTCATAACGGTGAACCGGGTGAGAAGACATCTGAAGCGCACGTCTTGTCCGGCTCGAAATCGGTCCGGGAGTACCGCTAGTTGAGACTGGGCTGTCTGTCATTGACCGAATGGATCCCTGGGGCATGGACTGCCGCTTGCTGACGTCCCCAGTCGAAGTGATTTGGACAGGGACGTTTCCGAGAGCGGCCGAGTCCAGCGAGTACTTGACACTCTGCAAAGCCCTGTCCAACTCGTTCAGGTCGGAATTCTGCTTCGCATCTCCCGCATTCACAGAGTCCAGAGCGAGCGAGGAACGGTTTGACCACGGCATACAGCCAGCGTTGGCTTCGATATCGGTCGCCAAATTGGCCTGGTTACGACCGGAGAGCCGGCGAGCCCTCTTGCGGAGGTGAGAGAAGAAGCTCTCTTTCTGGTTGAGTGTAGCGTTCATAGTCCCGGCTCCGTTGAGCGTTCGCTCTGCCTCTTGCCTGTGAACGTCGGCATAGTGGTTACCGTGGGAATTCAGAGACAACTGTCGGCCAATCTTCTTGCTCGCTCTTCCAGCACCGGACTGGGCATTATCCCCACCATGAGCAAGAGTCGAGTTCGCCTGAGCTGTAACTGCATTAGACAAGGGAGAGACTGGTCGGATTGAAGGGAGGATAGGCATAGGAGCCCCATTGGCCCACGTGGCGCGCTTAGTGGCAGCAGGTCTGGTCTTGGTGGCTTGCAGATCGGGAGTAGTGTTGTACGACACAACAGACGGTCGGACAGCCTGGTCGGTTTCTAAAGCTGGGGCTGGGCTTTCCGATCTTCCAATCAGCGATCTTCTAAACCACGAAGGCTTTGATGACACGCTGGGGGAGTCGCTAGATTGAGGAGTGGGAGATCTGAAGCTCCTATCCGACTGTTTGCGGCCAAGCAGCCGCGAGGTGGAAGATTTCGGCCGCAGAGGATCCACAGCATCTGCGAAGTACTCGTGGTTCAATGCCTGTGTGGAAGTCGGTCTGTTCTTAGGGTCCCACATCAGGCACCACGTCACGAAATGGCTCAAAGATGCTGGCCAGTGAGGAGGCTGCAGGATGCTCTCCATAGAATGAGGCGCCATCTGTTCGATCGCGTTAGCAAATTCTCTCTAATCCCACGAACATGACGAATCTCCGTACCTTTGGAAATGTGAACCCTAGCTTCTGAGCCAAGCGAGAGCCTTCCCTCCACTCACCACCACCCAGCTTGGTGCCTGACTTGCTGTACCAGTTGCCAGGACTGCCCATGATCTCACAGATACGCCAGACCTGGTCAACCTCGTTACCACCAGGGAACAACGGCTTCAGGGTCGCGATTTCAACAGCCATGGCACCAACAGCCCACATGTCTACAGGCGCAGAGTATTCTCCCGCACGCAGGAGAACCTCAGGCGCGCGGTACCACCTGGTTGAGACATATGTCGTGTATGGCGACTTCGAATGAGTTTCGCGTGCAAGGCCGAAATCGGCAATCTTCACCGTGTAAGTCGGAGGAGTGGAAGGGGGAGTGACAAGATTTGAATAGCGGCTGAAGGCTGAGTCGTTCGGAGCAGATGTCGATACCAGGATATTCTCGGGTTTGATGTCACGGTGGAAGAAGTGGTGAGCATGGATGTGGTCCAGACCTGACAGGATTTGGTAGAGGATGCTCTTCACGTGTTTGCCCTCCAAGTATTTATGGTCTCGGGACTTCATTAGTTGGTAGAGGTTGCCATCCATGTATTCCATGCAGATATGGAGTTTTCGGGAGAGTGGATCAAGGAAGATGTCGAGGGCTGGGACAAGGTGGGGATGAGCGGGTAGAGTCCGTAGGAAGATGACCTCACGCAGCTCTAGGCAAGGGGCCAAAGAGTCGAAGGTCTTCTTCATCGTCTTGATTGCAACCTAGCAGAATATCAGCACGGGTCCATGCCCCGAGGGGCTGATCTCCTCCGCAATTGGGTTCCTTACCATAGTTCCTCTCCTGGCAACATTGGAGCCGGCTGTCCGTACACGAGCAACTGCGACACTGCCAAAGCTTCCATCACCGACCTCCTTTATGACTTCGAATCTGTCTTCGAGAGTAGCCATTGAAGTGGCAGCAGGAACCCGTGACGGGTAGTCGTAGCTGATAGTCATGTTGACTCTGTTGATATCTTCTGCCAGCAGATGAATCAAAGGACGAACTGATGACTGTGCCAGGCTTTGTTCAATAGCGAGAGTCCAAGGTTTCTATGTGTCATTCACGGTATCACACTATGACAGTGTTCCGAGAAATGATATAGACCTTAGTTCGGCGGCGAGATGGTTCAAATCAAGCAGGTGTTCATCATCTGCGATGCAATCAAGTTCAGCTTGAGGGAGTGGAGGAGTAGATGGTTCAATCCCATTGATTATGAAGAAGGGGAAACAAGTAAAGTCGAGTTAAAGGGAGCGCGGGGTTGGTTAGATGTATTATTGAATGCAGGACGAACGATCGATTGGGAGAAGGAGGGGAGGAAAGGGGGTGGTCATGTATCTTTGTACTATGTAGTAGCTCAAGCGAAGGTGGAGGAGAGGGAGATCTGGAAGGAAGATGGAAGACCCGGAGGATTGGACCGTGATCACTGTAGTGACAACACCGGACCCGTTTGGGTGGGAACTGCTAAACGAGAGGAAGAAAGAATATTGGATACCGACTTTTTGAGGGAGTGTAACTTTGTGAGAATTATCATTGCGACTTGTGGGAGAGGAGAGAGAGTGACTGTGTGGGAGAGGAAGAGTAAAGCAGCCCCTGACACGGTGACAGCTCTGCTAGTCTAGCTCCCAAAGCCTCCGAAATACTAAATACGTACTTCGTACGAACTAAGGAGACTTCGGATGGGGCCGTGGGGACTGAAGAAGCGGTCGACAACGGACCAGGTTTGGGGGATCAATGGCGCTGATCACAGAAACTCTGTTGATGAAAACACTGTATTCAGTGTAATGGTAACAATAATGTTGATGTTGATGTCGATAATGATGCAGAGCTGCAGGCAGGATTATATTGAAGCAGGATGGAGGGGAGTGATGATGCTGAAGACATGGACAAATAACCGGAGCACTTCTGTCCTTCTTTCTCTCCTTTGGAGCAATGGCAAGTAAGACACGAAGCGGATGGGGTTATAGGTCAGGATTTAGATGTACTACTACTGCTATGTAGAATATAAGTGAGTTAGAAGAGGCTGGGGGTACAGAGTAGACAGAGAATAATATTGATAATGGGAAGCGCGTGTAAATGGTAAAAAGAGAGGGATAATTATTATCAATTTTAGAGACGCGCAGAGCACCCAATCCATGACTATAATAATAATCATAATACTACGGGTAAAGCAGCAGCATCATGTTGATGATATTATTATTGGAAGTAAGATGAGTTGCCGTACCTTGGTTACTATCCGTACAACTTACCTGGGT